AACAGTAGAGAAAATCCGATCAGAATGACAAAATATACTAAGCATCCACTGGAAGGAATCCCAATAATCTGCAGACGGATCCGTTTCGGCCTTCTAGGCCTCATTAGTGCAGCTAGCATATAGACCCAAACGACACGTTCGACCAGCTTAGGTAGGGCCCAAACAAGTCCCACGACCACTAATGATTACAGAGCCAAACCAAGGCAATATATATATATATATATATATATACACAGCCCAGGTGTGAATGCAAATAGTGGAATACAAGCTATGTGGCTCGGTTCCAGTAGATGCAGAGAATATTTTGTCATTCTTATCGCGTCCTACGAAATTCGTACGAGACAGCACTAGTCCCTGAATTTGTGAACAAGATCGGAGATCTAAAAATGCAATCTCTACCGTGCATCAGTGGCGGCCCGATGGATCTCAATAGAGATTCTTTAATAATATATAAATTTTATAAGGCAAATGGGAAAACCCATAAAACAACAAATGGCCACATAATGCAAAACTATTTAAAATTAAAACGGAACAGTTTTGTTGTTAAGGGTTTCCACAGTGGATTTAATTGGAAATGGTGTGAATTTAAATGTGTTCAGAGTCAACTCTTTTCATTGTCTCTTTGTATGTGTGGAATCGCAATGTAAACGGAGAATAAAAAAGAAATTAGTGAAGGCAGGATCTACGAAGAGGTACATGTATTGTTTTATCATTATTTTTACTTTTGTACATTTACCAACAGAAGCAAAAATGTTTTCCTTTTGGAAAAAATACAAATGTAAAAAATTGTATAATAGGTGATACCTCGAATACTTACAGATCTCGCAGTTCCCTTGTGTCTTTGAATGTTCTGTTATTATTGACCTTTATTCTGTTGCTATCTAATTGCCTAAAAAACGAATTTTCAAATGTTGATAATAGTAATGAACTACTTAGCACGATATCTATGTCAAAAAACAGTTTGTCGGAAAACATATGGTTGGTCTTTTTGGTACCTTTAAATATTTATTTAGGTCGTACATTCACAATAAAGATAATAAAACGTAAGTCTTACTACAATGTTCGATGATGCGCCTTGTGGTTTACGAGTCCACAAGAACAAGGTTTAAGATGTCTAATGGTACAAATAATAGAAGTTCTCTTTTTGTTTGGCGCTCAGAACTTGCTATAAGAGTACGGACTCCATGTTACTGGTAGGAAACTGACTTACTTCTCTGAACAGTTCAGGATACTACACATTTAATTTTTAACACATGATACTGCGTTTTGATCCACACAGGATAGCCATGCATATACTTAACTGGACCCACATTATAGTAGTATAAAACACATTAACAGTAGTTCACACCCTGTAAATATGTTTGATCCACACAGAATACGCTACCACCAGGTCCATACATAGTACCGTACAATTCCAATGTAGTCCGCACTTGAATAGTACACTTTCAATCACACATGACACACAAATACAAAATTAATTCACATATCTGACATTTTCTCTGAGTATGTCCACCTCAACTGACTTAGAATGTGTATGGTCGTGAAAGGTAAAAGTACATTCATAAGTAACAACATCATGTCTGCCAAGTAAAAATATATCTTTTAGAGTGTGTGGAAAAATAATTATTCCTACCAAAAAGAATGGACCGTGTATTAATAAAAATGTTTTAACATGCGAGTTAAAGCCTCTCTACAAAGAAACAGATGCAGACAGGTGAGCGTGGATAGATTGTTTGTAGCGACTTCCACTAAGAACACTCACCGTATTTGGCAAAACAAAATGACTGGATGTCGACATAAGAAAGCAAAATCAAGTAGTCAATCGTAATTGAATAAAATATCAAATGTTGAAAGGAAATACGGAGGGTTATATGTGCAAGTAAAATTGAATATAAAATGCGTTGCGTAACGGACTACCAGTATAAAAAAAAACAATAAGAACAATAACTATGATGAGTCATACATTATCTGAAGTTTAGGACAGTTTTTGTAGAAGAGAACGGAAATAAATTCGTCCAGAGTCTCCATTTCCAAGCCTCATGGTGTTAGTTATACAGGAGGTGGATCCAGATATGAAATCAGGTGATAGGGGTTGTCTAAGAATACTAAAAGACCTACTACATATTACTAGCAATTTTGGAAGCCCAAGCTGGGGTCACATTCATATTGGTCCCTTTCTGGAGCACCAACTGGATGCATTTTTTTTTTGTCTGCATGATGCAAACGAATCCAGTCGCTGTTTAATTTTTTTTTCTCGAGACAGTGAAGGAAATAGCTTAGCGAATGTGTTGTATGATACAGTAATACTGTAGAATTGTATTTACTACTAAGAAAAACATATACATTTTGTAAATAACATACAATCGAATAAGTACAGTTAGGTCTTCGAAAGCTCCATCAATTGATTGAATGTTGTTGTACCTAGCAGATCTGAAAAGAAAATTATTAAATGTCAAGGATTATTAAAATCAGTGATAATCATTTAAAAGGAATACAATTAGGATAATCACTAATAAACTGAACATTTTCTTAAAACAGACCCAGACATACCTCAAATCTGACGTCGAAATTTCAGTGAAAGGTTTCGTAAATGTTTCCAAGATATCTTGCAATGTCTATTATTTATCATATTAACTAATGAAATAAGAATAGTTTTTATGGATGTATTGCCCCATGAAAAATTTTAAAAAATCATAAAAATCATTTTTTAAATTAACTTGTTCATTTCAAGTTAAAAAATGATCAACTTGAACATAGAAATTAGTGTATTTAAATTGGTGTTTACATAATTTTGCAGTAAAAATGAGTGATTTACACACAAAGTGTTTTTATTATTATCTAGTATAAAAATCAGGGTAGGCCTACACATTTAATAAATTCAATAATTTCTATACACAATTTAATTACTTGTATGTTACTAAAAAAATGAGCAAGTACATTTAAAAAAAATATTGTTTTTTTGATTTTTTTTTTAATTTCTAGGCGACAATACATCTTAAACTAGATAAAAATTACTCGAACCGTAAATACATACATGGATCTTATCCGTTTTGGAAACTTGGGTAAATTGGTTAGACGATTGTGGTCCAGTTTTCTAAAAATGAGAAACTTCAATTAGAATAGAATCAATCACAGCTAGAATTTGAAGCAATGCTCTGTGCATTGCTTCTCTAAACCCAACAGTTAAAAAAAGCGTCGTAACCGGAAATGAGCTATAGTATCATAATAAGCAACAAATGATAACAACTAATAAGTAAAAAAGATTTAGACATCAGTTGTTAACAAGATATGACCTTGAAACATTCAACTTGTGTAGGGCTAAGAATAACTATACCTCCATGGAATAACATTGTTACAATTGTTGTAATTTTAATTGAACAGGATCAGCTTGGTAAGTACAATATAACTTAACTTGTGGTAGCCCAATACATAAACACCTTATACAAAGGCACCTCTATTATGTAGGCCTAATTAGGCCAAATAGATTCTTCTTTTGGAAAAGCACAGAAAAAATTGGAATTCATGCAGTGGCGTACCTCTAGGAGTTTTGAAATTAGGGAGGGGCTGATGGGGCATGGAAATGGAGTGGGGGATCGAATATTAAGTGAAGGGACGATAGGTCGAAACATAAGTTGCTATGAGGTTATATTTAAATACGTACATTTTCATTGGGGAAACGACTGGAGGCGCAAGGGAAAAGGGCCCGCCCACCCCTTAGATACGCCACCGAATACAAAAGGTCAGCCGGTAATGTTTTCAATATGCCTCCAACTTCTAAGGTCAATTTCCAATCATAAGTCACCCAATACTTGCTTTGAAATTTTTTATTTTTTTATTTTTTTATAAGTACTTTGGGCTTCTCCTATAATCAAAAACAAAAAGAAGAAGGAATTGATAAATCAACCCTCGGTTTAAGCCCCATTTACACTAGACACGATTACGACACGATACATATGCGCGCAGTGTTGAAGAATGCAAACTACGCGATGATATGTCGTTGTCGTGTCGTAATCGTGTCTAGTGTAAAGGGTGTCTATAAAACGAAGACCGAAGACCCAAAAACGAAGACCCCAATTTTTTCTCTTTCATTTTGTTAATACGCCAGACTGTCACAAAATCAAAATTACGGAATTTTTTGGGCGTCTGTTTGTGAAATTTTCAGGGGTCTTCGTTTTTTTTTTTCTCCCAATCGTGATAAAATAATGAAATATGTACTTGGCAACTGTTTTATGATGATTTTGAAATACTTTCTTCGTTTTTCAGGTTCAGACAAAAATGTGCTAAGAAGACGAATACTATATATAGGCCTATATATAGCATGAAGTGATTTAGAAACATTATTTTCATCACGATTGAAAGAAAAAAAAATGTGGGTCTTCGTTTTTCTGGTCTTTGGTCTTTGTTTTGTAGACACCCATATAGGGTGTCTATAAAACGAAGACATTTAAGTATTTCTTGATATTCCTCATTTTATTCCGATAAAATAATGAAATAGGTACTTGGCACCTGTTTTATGATGATTTTGAAATACTTTCAATAAGATAATTGAGAAATAACTGGAGGTCTTCGTTTTCCGGGTCTTCGGTCTTCGTTTTGTAGACACCCATATAGAGTGTCTATAAAACGAAGACCCTTGAAAATTTCACAAACAAACGCCCAAAAAATTTCGTAATTTGGATTTTGTGAGAGCCTGGCGTATTATCATCAAAATGAAAAAGAAAAAATAGGGGTCTTCGTTTTTGGGTCCTCGGTCTTCGTTTTATAGACACCCCTAGTGTAAATCGGGCTTTAGTCAGGCTTGAGCAACATAACGTTTTACTTTTTTAGCCCTGAACAGGAATGCTTCATTAAATGTTGATGTCCTGATAAATAGGCCTACTGTATACGTAAAAATTGTGTCTACTTAAATTTCTTGCAAATGATGTAGTTGGAGCCACGTATCACTCTCTATCTGCGATATATTGTTATTTCCAACGTACCTTTGGACAAAACAACAAAAGTTATCGTGACAAGTATTTCTATGTTGAAATCGATATTTTTTATCATTATATATCTTAATATTCGGTGTATAAAATTTGAAGTTGGAAAGGCAATTCAAAGCAAAGGCGTGCACAGTTTATTTGTCAAATAAACTTTGCATGTATGTGTAAATAGATAACATTATATCTGTCTCTTATACACATCTAGATGTGTATAAGAGACAGCTATTATGTAGGCCTAATATTGGTTAGCACTGATGCAATTTCGATGTACTTTTTAAGAACAGCGGTCGGGAAACGATTAATTCAAGGAATACAACTGACATATGTACAATATATCGTAGTAATTAGTATTTAGGTCATAGAGCATTGTTTGGACCAGTTTTGATACTTTGCATTACTGTATATATGTAAATAAAAAATATTATTGAACAATAATTAAAATCGCCATTATTCCTGGCATTTCGTATATAGAGAAATAGTAAATAATAACGTTTAAAGTCCTGATTGGGTGGCACTGATCCCATTATATTGTTTATTTTTTAGGAACAGGGGTTAAAACGATAAAAGAATATTATTAAGTTAACATTCTTGTGTTAAATTTGCTAAGCAACATTGTGCATAGATTTTTTTGCACAGACAATAGTTAAGGAGGGTTAATCATGATTGTTCTTACAGACCATGTATCGTCACACTTTAAAAGCAGGCGTACCTTTTGTCACAGAACATGTGCAGTAGTATGATAGCCGAGCAATTAGAAAACATGTGAACACTTTTGAAATCCAGATATAAATTAAACACAACTCACTTCAAAAGAAAATGCTGTACAAAACATCATACCTTTTTTAAGCTACGTTCACATCAAGCCCGGATCCGGTCCGGAGCGCGGACAAAAATCATGAGTTACTACGTTTTTTGAACGCTGTGTTCACATCACACATGGAACACAGTTATTCGGGTTTAGAACGCATGCGTTTGATCGGTTCGACCAACCAAGTTTTTTGCTGATTGGTCCAACGAAAAAAAAAACGTGGCCTATGATTTCAAGATACAAATGGCTCTCAGATCCATCGTCTGGATTAGAAATTGTACGAATTTGATGTGAACGGTACTATTCTTTACCACTGAACCCATTTTTCACGATTTTTTGTCCGGGCACCGGACGGGATCCGGGCTTTGACGTGAACGTAGCTTAAAATACCTCTGTAAGTGACACGTAACGTATGCTAAATTGTTTATCTGAGCAAATCAAATCAGACTGTAGAAGAGAATGTTTTGCCATACGTAAGGAAAGTGGCGTAGTATAATGAATCACGTTTGTCAATCTCAATGTTCACATTATTAAACAATTATTATTAATATCTATTTTGGCTTGATAATAAATAATTACAATGTTTGGCTTCGTAAATTTAATAGGCAAGCTTCAGTAATTAACAATCTCTCCACACTACGCCTTGCGGCTAAGAGTCGCGTCTTGAACGAGACATACAGGTCGTTTTGTGTATTCTGCAAAATTTCCATACATAAACCAAAATGACCACAGCGTTTCAAAGTTGCTTATCGATTGCTTCGTACATTCTCACCCCAAGGCATTCCGAGAACATGGCGTCTAGATTTTCATCAGCATACTAAAACATATTATAAATACGTAGAACATTTTAGGTGATTTAACGGAAATGTATAAAACTTTAGAAAGCACTGCCAAGATAACAATATACAGTACTCTAATTCTATGGCTCATTCAAGGTGTTTTTGTTGCAGTTACCCAATAAACCATTCCCATTCATCATATTCACAGTTTATGATCGTCCTTTTATATACACACCGTCCTACGTAAAAATACAATCAGGATATACTATATAACATAAAATACATAATGGAGAAATATGCTTCTTGTCAGAATTGTTCATATGACTTTATAAACACGTAGGCCTATCCTGTATATTTTATATTCATACCAACACTAAAGGAAATTATAGAGTAAGAAATTAAACCTAAAAACCAACCCGACGTCAGTGGAACTCAAACTATGACTGCAATGGTAAAAGGTAAAAGCGAAGGTGATGTTAAATTGAGACTGTTCTTACCATTTCGCTAAAGAACGCAACCATGTGGAGGTCATTGTTTTTTTTTTATTCTGTCTTCCTTGCGTAAAGTCGACGGTGAAAGTTGTTTATGCATTTCATGGTAATTTTGTGGTTTTCATAGCTGTAGCTTGAAACGCTTTAGAAAATGCAAATTGTGTTAACATCAAAGCTTAATTACCCGTTTATTCTTATTCAAATATTTTTTAAATACGTCATATTATTTTAATATGCACATCTTTGATATAATAATAGTCTTTGCTTGGACTAACTTTGAAGAAGATCCAACCAGCAGGGAAAGTGACCAAAGTGCCAGTCATAAAAACCCTGTGCAAAAAAAAATAATAATAATAATGAAAACTTCGAGACATCTGCTCACTGAACGGTTCGCTGTACAATGAGTCAAAACGAGACCCCGTTTTCTTACAAAATCTACAATATAATTTAAATGGTTTCATTTGGTAATCTGGGGCGATCGGATTATTAAACTGAAACTGATGTTTTAAATTTTATAGTCATCTATAGAACCGTTTTTACCCTGTCTATGAATCACGTCACATGATGTAAGCCAATAACAGCTACGAATTTCAAGTTTTCTGCGGTTAGTGCGTTCATGCATACGATGTATGTCAAATTTGCCTAACTGAGCTTTTGTCAAAATTAGGGGAAAAGTTTTCATTATGTAGAAATAAGGGATAAAAAGTTCGGAAAGTTCGGAACAAAAACAATATCTTTTTTTTTCTGCTGATACATGGAAAAGGAACAATATCAGAATAAGAGGTAAGTACTAGTGGCATGCCTCTACCCTGTACATAACGTTTATAGTGAATTCTATGTTCTCCTGACCAAATATTTCCGGGTCCAAATTCTCTAGTATATTCAGTCTCCGATGCCAAAAATATTCATGTTGAGCAAGTTAAGTGTTAGTAAAGAATGTTTTGAAAATATTTTTAAAGTACTAAATAATAATATAGTATATTTCATCATTTAAATATAGGCGTTTTCAAAAAAGACTGTTAAACATTGAAGCACTTTACAGACGCGTGGTGTTCACTGGAATACCAGCGGGTAAAGCACTGAGTCCAAGTCCTGTACAATCAACAGTCCAACCAACTAAGTTCTGTTTACAATTACAATCTGCCATCGAATGAGTGTCTCCACATGCTGACTGCCTCGAAAACTTCACGAGTAGTAGGAGTGCTGTCCAACGTAGAACAGTCATTCTTTATTCGCATTTAATGTTGAAGAAGGCTAAAGTAAATAAAGGGGCGAAAAGAAACGTTGCTAGTTTTGCGAAGCACGATAATTTGATAAACCACATACGTTCAATATAACGAACAGATTGCAGAAACGGAGTCTAGTTTTGTAATTGAAAACTCAATATCATCATCATAATTTAAAGCTGATAGCAATAATGCAGGGAGTTAAGCTTTGTCTACACTGTATTATGTGACAAAAAAATTTATATGCCCATATATGGGTATGATGACGTAATATCACATATAATAAAATTGTATCAAAAAAAGTTGAACGTGTTCGACTCTATGTTCCATTAAATGTTATGTGACGCTTTTTTGATGAAATTTGATTGTGTAGACAAAGCTTAAGGTAAGATCAGTCAGGTAACGACTATGTTTCCCTGGTTTTCTTAATTCATCGTGTTCACTGAGGCTTCAAAACGTCGATCCTTTTGGCTTTTGTAACGTTAATACTACCATCTTCCACAAATACACACCGTCTCAACGCAAACAGAATCAGGAAATATTATGTAAGATCAATGCTTTTGTAAATCACGATATGGAGCACCCCTTTTCTTTTTTACACAGTGGCAACTCATTGTTATGACTGTACACACGTCTTTAATAATAATAATAATAATAATAATAATAATAATAATAATAATAATAATAATAATAATAATAATAATAATAATATGTTCATACGTGTTTTTAAAATAATGATCGGAAAACAACGGGAAACAACAACAATAATTACAAATTACAAACCCAGCTTAAACAAAGAGAAACACAAGATAGAGTTCTCCACAGAAAAAAAAAAACGTTCTACTGAAATGCATAGTATGGGAATACAAACAATGGGGCTCCGCGTACGGCTAAAGCCAGGGACGTAGCCAGGATTTTGAAAGGGGGGGGGGGGGAGCCGTTATGCGAATTATGTATGACCCCGGTGGGGTCAAGGGGGCGAATCCCCCTGTGATGTAGCGCAATCTGAACGTTCTTAGGACTGTTTGAGAGGATTAAGTGAAAATTGCAATAGACGCATTATAAATAAGCGCAAAAATAATTATATAATAAATCAACAGTAGCAGATCCAGGAATTCGAAAGAGAGGTGAACCAGGGAGGGACTTTCACAGACCGAGGAATCACCCACCTCAGCCCCACCATGGTTGGGGCTGAGGTAAGAAAATTTATGATTAAGGCATCTCTAGATGGCCGGAAATTACACTCTCGCATTTCAATTTGAATATATTTTTCTTTCTTTTGTTTTCTTAAAAAAAATGAAGGGGGGGGGGGGCCTTGAATCCACATCTACTCAAAACGTTCTTTATCCAGAATAGTCATAATCTCGAAAAATGGACATGAAAAACCAGATCACATCCTAAAAACAAACAGCAATCACTAAGACATACATCAGGAGCCGACTCGATGGAGTTTAACATCTGTTTTGAAAGGTGGAGGGGGAGGGGAATTTGTGAGTCGACACCCACCTCAGCCCCACCATGGCTGGGGCTGAGGTGAGAAAATTTGAGGAAATAGTACCTCTAGATGGCTAGAAATGACACTTTTAATAAAATTCATCATCATTACATCACCATTAGCCAAAATGAAGCGCCAAAAAAAATTCTCATGATCTTTCATCAGGGATTTTTGACAACCATAGAGATCTTATTAATGTGTGTGTGTATACCATAGAAAACAAAGCTTAAAAACATTGTCTTTGAGTACCGGTATACACAATATACACACACAGGACCGATAACTATATATTATCTAAAATATTCGATATGCCGGTACGTGAAATTGATACAACAGACATAAATACGACTCTGCCTGAAATTAGATTAAGAAATTACAAGTTTTGTTTTAAAAGAAGTACAAAGATCTGAATTGAAAAAAACAAATTGAAGTTTTTTGAGAAAATAAATTATTTGTTAAAAATTAAGAAGGAAATGTAAATAAGTACCAAAACTGAGATTAATTGTTTTAATATTGTTAATAAATGTGCCTTTGCCAAAAAAAAAAAATTAAATCAATCAATTATTGCAGGAAATCATTTGTTCATAACTCATCAGGAAAAAGAGCATTAGTATCACTATTTATTTTATATTGGTCGTTAATTGGAGGGAACATTTCCATTTCCACTAAAACCAAGGTATTTGGTCTCTAGATAGAAGGAATCTTTAATTGGAGCGAACAGCTAATGTTAAAAGACACGAATTAAATCGGGACCACAGAAAATGGTCTTTAATTGGAGGTGACTTTTAATTGGAGGGGTCTTTAATGGGAGGAAGACCTGTACAAGGCAAACAAACACACACACGATGCTTTACAGAAACTAAATCAATATGAGGTTTAAAGAGTGGAGTTGTTTTAGTTGTGAGAAAAAATTCTGCAACATTGACAGGATTGAGCACAGTACCCTGAGATAGGAAGGCAAGCATCATTCTTAACTACCACCAAGCCATTCAACTCCACTCCTCAAGCTATTCAACTCTAGTCCCCAAGCTATTCAACTCCTCCACTTTCAAAGCCATTTAACTACACTCCAAATAGTTTATACTTGAATACTTGATACATGTTTTGCTAAGTTATCATCCTTATTAAATTTTCCCTTGTTATCAATTATTTCTTACAAACGTAGCGAGATAATAATAAAATAATACATATATAAAATAAATTTAACTAGAAGGCACTCTAAGAGTGCATATCTCTGCCCACATTATAATTCTCCTCTGTATAAATTTTAAACGCATATTGTCCCCATGATAAAATGTATTTAGTGCAGTGCTGGTGCCAATGGCTTGACCGGTAATAAGATTTTATGTTTAGTACGGACAACGAAATAAAACATAATGAAAAAAAGGAAAGAAAACAAACAAATAGACATCATAGGATGCAACGCCGGGGTCGAAAGTGTGAAAATCACTCCCTAACCACTACACTAAACTGTTTTACATGTACGCCTACCGCTGTAAAATTAATGCAGTATGTTTTGTTACATTCTTCGGCAAACCCCGTACGTCCATACGGCAGACAGTTAAACAAGTATTTTTTCGTTCATTGTGCTCTTGACTTTTGACCATGACACTTCAAAATAAGTCACTTACAGAATTTTGGTTATGGTAGTTATGATAATTAATACAATATGAACCTAACAGTTAAATTCATTTTTCTTTATTTAAACAGTATGTAAAAACAGTTAACAGTGTTAGGCAGGTATGACTAGGTACAAAAACAAATGTCCATACACCATTGGCATCTAAAACTTATAAAAACTACAATATCATAGTCAATTAATATTCTGTGTTTGTACTGTATTACCAAAGACAAAATTTAGGCTTTCAAGCAAGATAAGGTAAATAGTGCAAACAGAGTATAAGTAAAAAAATAAGCTATTGGCAACTACAACACATCAATATAAGCTCATCTTATGTAGGGCCCACTGAATTATAGAGTACACAACAACAAACGCAAAATATAACAACCAGTAGCGTAACTACCGTAGGTTTAGGCGGTTCATTGAACCAGGCCCCCACCCCCCACCCCGATCTCAGGGTCTCCGATTTTTAGAAGCATTACCCCCTTATAAAAAATCTAATAGTTAAAGCAGTGTATATATACGAAAACTAAATTGATAGTATTTATCTATCACATTATAATTTAAAGTTGTTAATAATGTCAAAATAATCAATTATATATGTAGTGACTACCAGTGGTTCAGTGAATTGGGCCCCGTGGCTTAAAGGCCCCGGGACAAAATTCTCTGATGGCGATCAAATTGCACTTTTGGACCACGATATAAGGCATTGGCATCACAATAACTATGATTGGATCAGAAAATTAAGATTAGGCACTTTAAGCAACAGGACGGGAAGACGGGTGGACGGTGGATATGTGCTCATCAGAGCGCGTAAACACTTTGGCCATAACCCGAATTGCCGTTGTCGACGGCTTCCCGTCCTCTTGCGTAAAGTGCCTAATATTATTAGTTCGTCGACGACCACTTTGTAGCGTCGTACGCCGTGGGTTTGCGGGGGGGGAGTGAGGGTCTCCAATTTTTTTGCACGTCACTCACGAAATCAACTATTCCAGTGCGATCCAAAGCAACAATGTTTAGATTAAATAACTAGTTCTAAGCAATTTATAAATATTACAATCAAATACATGTTTATTCAGAATTGTCGATTTTTTTTATCCTGGGGATATTTAGTCCATGGACCTCAATCGGGCATTGTGCAATCAGAGGTCCAGGCAATTGGTTGCAAATTAAGCTTGTAATTACTGCTCGTTCTGCTCGAGATGTCGTACAGAAAGTATAAAAACTTTTTCAAATTGGTCTTCCACAACATCAGAACCGTGGGTCCCTGCCTTCCTAAAGACGTCATTGATTTCTTCGCACTCTGCAATTATTACCTTTATAAAACTAAATATAACAACCACTTAAATTAATCTAATATACAAACAAACAGTGCTCGATTCAAGGAACAATGATGTATTTAGTCCCTGGACCTCAATCGGGCATTGTGCAATCAGAGGTCCAGACAATTGGTTGCAAATTAAGCTTGTAATTACTGCTCGTTCTGCTCGAGATGTCGTACAGAAAGTATAAAAACTTTTTCAAATTGGTCTTCCACAACATCAGAACCGTGGGTCCATGCCTTCCTAAAGACGTCATTGATTTCTTCGCACTCTGCAATTATTACCTTTATAAAACTAAATATAACAACCACTTAAATTAATCTAATATACAAACAAACAGTGCTCGATTCAAGGAACAATGATGTAAACATTGTATAAGGCACAACCTATCAACTAAAAGTTATTAATCTAAAGTACTTCGGGTGATAAATAATCAAATAATGGTAGAATAGGTGCCTGAATAGAATACAAATAAATATCGTATCAGGCTTTCTTTTCAATTATAGAAAAAAAAATTGCCAAGTCTAAATAATCAGATTATGGTAGAAACACTTCCCGAATAAAAAAGTTATAAACATCGTATCTGGCATAGTCTATTAACGAATCAGTTCCTTATTCTGAACATGAAATACATTACAACACAAAGAGAAAAATCCCAAAGGAGATGTTTTGCAGAACTTATAAGGAACTTTTCCTATAACGGGCTTTAGAGTGAACCAGTATCTTTATAGTTGTAAAGAGGGATAAATTAATATTTGACTTATATTTTCCAGGTATATTAGCTAAAATCAGACAGTAATATCCTGATATATTGCGTTGTATCGGCAACAAACCCACCACAATAGGTAGAGTAGGCCTAATTTAAGATCGGAATACCAAGTGATTACGGTATTTACTAAAGTAATATATTCTTGATGTTAACACCAAAACTGACGAGAAAAAAAAGTTCTTCAGAACGGTTCTTAATGGCAGTTAAAGAATTACTGTAAAATATCAAGTTCCAGGCAAAAAACAGAGATGTTAACATTATTTTGTAATTAAAAATGCAATCACTTGCGGTACCTAACTACGTCGTAAAAAGATATTGCTATTAAATTAAAATTATAAGAGATTATATACAAAAAAAATATTTTAAACAGATACAAAAGGTAAATGAAATGTTGTACTGAAGGCCAACAATTTATATTACATTGTTACCACATGAAGATCATTGAGTATCGATGTAATTATATATTTTATTCAAATTATGCTGAACTGTATGGCAAATGATTATAATATTGGTGTGCCGTTAATTTACAACCAATTAATATTGTACTACTAGTTATTAGTCGTGGGAGTGTAGGTTGATAAGCTGTCGAAATCTTCTTGCACATTTAAACAACGTTCATTCCGATCGTCCTCGTTGTCTTCGACGTCATTGGCAACATTTCTAAGTTCCTGAAACCCAGCCGATTCTCCCCAAAAGCTTTCCTTGACTTTTTTAAGTAGATCAACTGTAAATATAAAAAAAATGCTTTCATTGTCATTTAAATTATTATTTTATTGAACTACGCTTGGGTTTGTAAAACAATAAAATACAAACAAACAACCAGAGCCAAAAATAAAAACTTACGAAAAACTAAAAACAGAATTGACAGATTCAGCAGCAAAAGGATATAGGGTGTGATGTCATGGAGCACAGATATTGTGTCGTCTGTCGTGTACACCGAAGCTCGCCCGGACTCTTCCATGTCAACAATTGCGCCAACCGACAAGTTGACGATGATGAAGACAAGTGTCAACAACTGAAACCTCGAATCGGACTTCACCTTCAATGGTTCAAGATACAGATGCAATGCTATGAGGATGATCGTGATGAAGAGGGAATATGCCATGTTGGAGGGTTGGTCGTCCTTGAAGTTAGCGATGAGGGCGAGTATAGCCTTGTTGTACATATCAATCACCTCCCAGTACCAAAACTTGGGACTATATTGCTTGCAGAAGAACCTCATTCCCATGGACCCAGATCGTTCCCCATGACGTTTGTATCTACAGTACAATATCAGAATAAGAGCAAGTGGAAAACCAATCACATACACCAACGAACCATAAACAATGTTTTTGTTAGTCTCGTATTTTGAACCATTATATTCATCTATATCGATAGAGTAGTCAGACGTTAACACTCGTTTTTGATCGTTATCATCATCCGCAGCAACATTAAACGTACGAATTGACCACGGGCCGATTGCCATAATGTTTGAGCAAGTGTTTGCATAGGTCAAATAGAGTAACATCATTGTAATCGAGAAGAATTTGTCCGTTAAGTGATGCACTGAGTGATCCTCTTTGTACCGTTTGTAGAGGTGCCAGATGAAGAAAGTGAGTGATGTTGACAAGATAATAGTGAATGGTGTTGCTATGGCAATATACAAAAATGTGTAAGCATTCCAAACACCAGGAAATATACACCTTGGGCTCAGAAGATTTACATAACGTATTATATCGAGATATTGGAGGCTCTCTCCAACAGATCGAAACGAATTTGGCCAATGTATTTCATTAACTTCAGATAGAATACCCAGAACCTGATAGAAATTGATGGCGATCTTGAGATGAATCACGAAAGAGTCTTTGCGTATTGTCTCGGCCTTTCGTTTGTCTAGTCTCCACACTAAGTACGAAACACATACGAACACCAAAATGATCGATATCAGGACAATTATTATGATTTTTTCATCCTGACATTTGTAACACTTGTCAAATAATTCGTAATAATTGTCACTGCACTCAGCACATAACCAAACATTATCAGAATAACCTTCAGAGCACTTTGCTTCAATATATCCACCAATGCAACTCTCACTTCTTGGACACTTGTGGGCTGCCGGAAGATCTCCTGTGTACACAGTGTAGTTTAAAGTGTTGGGTTCAGATAGCTTGAAATTGGAAGTAGTAAGATTATCGACAAATTGTCTGTACTCATCTAAACGATCGGGATAACGTTTAAAATTCCACGACCACCCGTAGCCCGGGCTCAATTTCTGGTAACCACCCGCGCAGTCAACGCCTTCCGGGCACGGTTTACATGCGCCATAACGGTAAGTGCGATAGAAGTTTTCTAAGCATGGACATGCATCAAGGTCAGCCATTACATCTGTGTTGGTTCCCGATGGACATGACTGACAGGCAAATATTGAGGTAGCTCCTGGATGAGGGGAAAATGTTCCATTTATACACCGTTTACAGTCGGTTATGTAAGTACCACTTTCGACATATCCACGATTGTCTTGATAAAAACCACCTGCAAATAAAATAATGTATAAGTAATAATAAATCTAAATAATAATTAAATCATTATTATTATAACAGCAGCAGCAAACGAAACCAACAGATCATTGTTTTTTTGTACGAAACATTTATGCTGTTGTCTGTGCAGTATGGCCCATTTTAACGTTAAGGAACAGAATGTACAGTTCGGAGAGCAAAGATTGTCTCTCGGTGCACTGCCAAAATCACCACCAGGAATACTCAACTGAAAATATGTTTTAGACGTGGATATCCTTTGTTATCCATCGTCTAAAAAAGATTATCTCTGATTCTCATGGTGCCAGTGATAATTCCTTATGTTATGCATGACTCATGAACGGGTTTGGTAACCTTGCGAAATGGCATTTATATCATGTTTGTATATACAGTTGTCTTGCACCTGATTGGTGAGTCTTTTGTGTATTATTACTCAACATGCTGCTGTGATGTTTTTCTTTGAGGTTTCTCATTTGAACTTTCCAATATGCTGGTTTCATGAAACGTGTTCTCTGTCTCTACCCATCTCTTCACTATGCTTGAAACTATGCACTATGCTCATCAACAAGACGTCCTCTGTCTCTTATACACATCTCCATAATGTTTGAGCAAGTGTTTGCATAGGTCAAATAGAGTAACATCATTGTAATCGACAAGAATTTGTCCGTTAAGTGATGCACTGAGTGATCCTCTTTGTACCGTTTGTAGAGGTGCCAGATGAAGAAAGTGAGTGATGTTGACAAGATAATAGTGAATGGTGTTGCTATGGCAATATACAAAAATGTGTAAGCATTCCAAACACCAGGAAATATACACCTTGGGCTCAGAAGATTTACATAACGTATTATATCGAGATATTGGAGGCTCTCTCCAACAGATCGAAACGAATTTGGCCAATGTATTTCATTAACTTGTATCCATGTCTACCAACGACACGTCATTGCAACGGCTGCAGCACAGTCCAACACTGGTACTGCATTGTGTCACCAGCCCTAAAAAACACAAATTCTTTTCAAAACCTAAAATGTCATCATCAGCATTAGGCCTATTATACTGGATGAAAGTGTTATTTTTCATGCAAGGATTCCTGATAATAAACTAAAGTGAAAAAAAAGGTACGTACGCATTTGTGTGTTCTGCTATATTCGATGGGATGTAGTTGAGATTTACACATTCCAGATACCTAATTAATGTAATATAATAATATGTTTGTACGTATGTAAACCAAGAACAATATGAACCGCGTATGAATACACGTATATATACGTATATATACATATATATAATATAAATTTCTTTAATTATTATAATATATATAGAGCGTATATACATACATATATATATATCAGGCATCTTGAATACTTGTGTGTATGACGTCGAAACATGTCGGCTTGTACAATGTTTAGTTAATGCATGTTTATTATTTTTAACTGCACGAGAAGACAAACTTGAAATGAAATTATATAGAGGTCAGAAGGAGAAGATGACAGTGGATTGGCATATGCTAAGATGTCCGAACGATAACAACAGAGTGACAACATGAAGGGAAAAGCAAAAGAGAACGAGCAAAGACAACTGGAGTTGGGGCAGGAAAGAACAGCAAGGGGTCGAGATCCAGGCCCGTACGCAGGATTTGTATTGGGTGGGTCCGAATTTTAGAAGGTTATGGATTCAGGGGAGGGGAAATAAGTTGAAAAATCCTGCTATGATCGAGGGAGGCGGGGCTCAGGCATATTTTATAAATGCTGTATCAAGATGATTTCCAAGCAAGAATAAAGATGATTTTAGTGAAACTAAAATTTTAGTGAAACTAAGAAGGAAGATGAGTTTATACGTGGTGAGCAGTGGCGGATTTAAGGGTCCCTAATATTTTTTAAATTATTTAAAAAAAAACAATGGAGAAAAAAAAAATTATATTGAAATTAAAGTCTGGGAATGCCATTTCCGACCATCTAGAGGTGCCATAATCATAATTTGTCTTACCTCATCCCCAACCATGGTGGAGCTGAAGTGGGTGAACATAGGTAAGTCCTAGTTTGAAACTTTTCTGATTATTGAAGAAGGAATAGGTGGATGAATTTCAAAAATGTGCAAGAGTGATTTTTGAATTTTATACCCCTTGGTAAGGTAGGGAGTACGCACCCGACGCACCCCTTCCCACTGCGTACAGGCTGGGATCTTGGAGGTGAGATGAGGTGAGATGAGACTTTTATTATACGAATATTAATCATGTTGTAATTCAGCTTATTATATAACATATACGTAGTTTGTTGGCTTATTTTTATTCCCATTGCTCTGCAGTTTTCCACATTACCGCAGTGGTGCACTGTTTTCCGCTTTAAAGTTCCGCTCAACATCATTCAAAATTAGAGGGCGCGTGTTGTTATATTTATTAGTACTGTTTACAGAAGCATTACAGTGATAGTTTTTGCACAAAATATTATTCTCAGCATAAGTGTATGCTCTCAGTATAAATATAGTATACATATTTAGTATGCAAACTGTTGTATACTGTAGCCAACATTATATAATAAATACGTAAATGTGGATGTTTGGTGAATTTTGATACTATGCTTACACTGATGAATTCGGTGCCAGATAAGACAACCAGCCTTGGTCCATATCTTCTATCGGATTATTAAATAGATAACTACAAGAAAAAAAAAACCAAGTTTTTAAAAGGAATTAATTGTTCTGATACTTACTGTATAGGCCTACGCTTACATTTTACTTACAGATATTTAAGTGAACCAGTGTTTACTTTAAACATTCCACTTGTTACTTTCTGCAGCAGATTACCGTATATATATCTATAAAAAAAAATTGTGAGAATACATTAGCCAACACATGTTTGTAAGACAGATTATATTTTAATATTTCATTATTATTATTTCCAGTAATTGCATACCATCAATAATTAAAACATACTTACAAATACGTGAGACTGGTTCCACTGAAAGATCCATCTTCTATATACGATATCTTATTCAGGTAAATGAATCTTTAGGGTTGTAAAACATCAATCCCATAAGATAAATAAACAGCATATTTATATAAATAATATTTATGTATTATTTTACTTTGTTATTTTTACAAGTTGGGCTCTACATACAACTTGTTTTGCCATACAAGTTGTAAGACTTAAATAAACGAGACAATAAACAAGAAGTGCGGAAATAATCAAGCGGCGTAAAACTAAATAATGGATTCAAGTAGACGTAAACTCTAACTACAGTTGTGTCAACTAATTATTATTTGCACAGGGACCTATTTACGTGTAAAGCATAATTATGGGGACATACTTGAAAAAGTAGACTAATTGTATACATAACATGCATAAATGGCGCATGAATGAAACCAAATGCATTACACCCGGCTAAAAAAAAAATAACATGACAAATGAAAAAAGAAAGACAATTACCATTGTCAGGTTTCAAGCAAGAAGACGTTTTACAATAAATCAAAGCCAAAGTTTTTTATTTGAAACACTTACATTTGTTCCAGAGACTTTAATCCACTGAAATAATTTCTTGAAATTGATTGTATTTCATTTTTTGCTATAATCAATTTTTCAGGTGACGATTGGACAATGCTTATATTGGGATGTGAGATCAGGTCGATAAAGTTCATGCTTATGATTCTAGAAATAATGTAAAAATATAAATATGATGAATTTTACTAATTTAATGAATAATAAAAATGATAATGACAATAATAATAATAATGATAATATAATATTAACAATTATAATAATATTAATAATTATTATTGTTATTATACAAAAATATTGTTATTATTAGTACCGATATTATTAATACTGTATAAGTATTATCAGTGTGATTATTATTAAATTGAGACTTCTATTTTTTCGCATCGTAAGACGTATGATCCGTGTTTGCACTGGCATTGACATTTTCAACTTTTTATAATCATTCGGTTTCAAGTATTGAACATACATTTAAAAAGCTATGTGCATACAGAACTACGCATTATAATTTGAAGTATGGAGCCAAGTAGGTAAGGTGTGACGTGTAGGTTAGCGTTTAAAGTGTAATTTCGGAAAAAATCATATTATTTTATTGGTACATTATTGTGTCATCAGTGAATAAAATACGTATGGTAAGAACACTTACAAAGATTGCGCTACGTCGAGATTATATACGGCGAGTGGAATCTCTTTTAACAAGTTATTATCCAATCTCCTGTCAATCGGAATAAAAGGTTTAATCGACATATGGACACTTTATTATATATCATATGACAAGTTATTTCCAATACCATTGCAGATTGTTGTACTTACTATCAATTGTTGATATTCTTGAAGATAATAATAATGATAAAAATAATAATAATAATAATAATAATAATAATAATAATAATAATAATAATAATAACATTATTACCTTCGCAAGGAGGCTGAAAGAAAGTGTAACTATAAGGGTGAAGAGCACGGTTACATTTTCTAGCCCATAGATTAGTGCACTATAGTTGTCCAAAATTGATGAAGTTTTAATCTTGTGGCTGAGGTCGATATGGTGTCTAAGGGCGTGGCAAAGTATATGTGGTAGTCTGCAGCAAAATCTCCCAAAATCATTTGATGTGTTTAAGATTATTATAGATATACATTTGTTTAATTTGGTAGGGATCACCCATTATTATTTTCCTTTTTTTTCATGGTATTCATTCTACATTTTCACTGAGATATACAAAGACTCAACAAATATTTTACCGGTTATTTACACAATTCACAACAGTTATATCACTTTATTCAAAATCTCTCATCTAAACTGATAACATATGGTGGTCGAAGTCCGAATTGTATGTTACTTACAAAATATTTAAAAGCAGCTATAATATTTAAAAACAGTAAAAATTTTTAAAATCAGAAATGAAAAAAAATAATGTAGTTAGACAGTTTATTTTTATACCTAACACATTGCTCTGTGCCACTGAGATCACAAATCCAAGGAACGATCGATTCACGGACACCACAGGGGATCACCTTCTGAGGATGTTATGTTTAATTAAATCAAAGATTTTTGTAAATTCCGTGAGTACGACCGTTCCCACATTGCGACTCCGTTCAGCGGCAGAGCACAAATAATGGATATTACAATCCAAACGGTTTTTTTCTGATCCAAGATATTATCACTTGAGATTTTTAGCATATGGCCCATGGTGAACCGAAAACATATAATTAACATCATATAACCTACCTCTCGTAAGAACAAGTCTCATATTCAAAATAACTCATGGACTACAACATTCTGTCAGTCTCTACTACTTTAAATCAAGACTCAAGGATTTTTTAGGAAACACTTCCAATTGTTTTGTTTTTTTTTTGTTTTAAATTAGGAATCACTGCTATTGTATTAGAGGATGTTTTAAGCTGTAAAATGTACAATTATTGTTATCTTAACTAGCCGCGTTTTATCTGGCCCACCACTTGCTTTTGTATTATAATTGTGTTGGTATCTGTAGGTATTATGTATGCGTAAGTGAATAAGTTTAATTGAATTCTTATATAAGTGGAGACATTTTAAACTTTTTAAAATGAATAAAATGGTTGAAGTGTAATGTATTTGAGTACTTACAACACCATTATCGTTCGCACCTCAGCAAATGCCTCAGGGTCGATATGCTGCAATTTATTGAACGATAATACTCTACGAAAGAAATGAGAAGAAATTGGATACTCTCTGACAACGATATGAAAAAAATGCCACAATACCATGAAGCATGGAAAATAATAACATGATAGTGTTCATGTGACAATGGTTAGGATTTTTAAACTTTACATCACAGTTTACTTGGTACACACGATAAGATTATTAATTATAATCATTGTTAATTTTGTAAACATTATGAAACAGGTCTATTTATTCCGATCATTAATCATGAAATTAAACATTCTATTTGTCTATCATTAAATTACATTCTTGTGGTTTATAAAAGGTCATGTAAAAATAAGTTGTTCGTGTAAAGGGAGTTGTTAGAGTGTATAAATTCCACCTGATCAAACATTACACTGGAAAATCCGTTGAAGCCTAAATGAGGTCTTGCCTTCCAAGACGTGGCATATATCAAGGGAGCGGTTTCATTACAGATTAAACAAGAAAATCTGAGATTACAAACCCTCACTCTGTTGCGCCATATCTTTGTATATAACCGATGCGCTCGATCCACTGATTGTTGTACTGCATAGGTGTAACACAATAAAGGTGCACTTATTACTTGTAAATTTAATCGAATGAGTGGGGTTTTTATTTCTCTAATTATTTTGTTATTTTATTATTTGTGCATCTATAGAATACTCTTTTTCATATTTTATTATTTCTCACAATCTTTTTTTTTTAAATCAGTCATCATCAGTCGGGCTTACACAACTTCCAGGCTGCTTCAGTCCGCCGGCTAGAATTTGACACATAGTCGGTCCGCGGTCGATATTCTCGAGTCAATCTGGCCTAGCCAAATGACTAAGTTGGACGATCCGCTCGAGTTGGCTGTCGAAAACTATATAAATAATGTTTTAAAATCTATATTTATTTGTGATAAGCACCAAATTCAAGGAAGACCGAGATACCTGTAATATTGTCAATGTGTGAACGTTTGAGGTTAATCGGTCCAGTAGTTTTTGAGCTATGCTCCCGGAAGAACAAACACACGCAGACCGACACACTGACAGACAGCCCGACAGAACGACCGACACAGATAGACAGAGGGAGCTCATTACAATACCCTCTTCTCCCTCTCAGGGAGGGTGAAAAACAAGCTCCCTGCCTACAATCAACAACTCTTTCTTTTTACATGGCATAGTTGAATCAGTTTCATCAACTTTGAACATTTCAATTTTCATCACTTAGCGACAACGAGGCTCAGACCTTATGACCTCGAGACCTTATAATATATCACTATATAAAAGTTGTAATCGCCATACTTCATTTATCCTACCATATTACAATACAAATATGAATATTAAAATTGGACATGGACAGGGTAAATGCATAAAGTTCACCACCACAATCCATGAGTTGTCTAGGGAAAATACGGTAACATGGACGTTATGGGTCCAGGCCCAGTCATAAATTTTCTTAGAATTTTGTGTGTTTCCATCTATAATCAGGCCAACCTTTTAGTGATCATGAATAATTGTTCTATTTTCAAATCTAATCGCGATGTCTAACATACTACTAGTGGGTAAGCAAGCGAAGCGAGTGCACCCCCGCACAAAAGGGGTGGGGATGTTTTTTTTTCATACCACATGGAATAAAAATATAAACTGAGGAAAGATATGAACTCGGGTTACCAAATTGAAGCTATATGGATTGAAATTAATATGAACAAATAGATAAATTACTTATTTGTTGTTTATACTGATCGCCGGAGCAACAAATTATTATTTTATTGACATGATTGATTGAAAAGGTAATGGATGAGTCACGAACTTAAATTCTTTAGAACACATCCTTGCTGAAACCCATGTTTTGTTTTGTGGCTGCATGTAGGAGTACTCTGGAGTCAAACTGAAAACAGGCGATGAACGTTTGTTGGAAATCCCCTCTAGTTTATGTG